ACACAAACACAAAAAGGTTAATTGGGTCAAAGACTACTTATTGGCTTGGAGAGATTTGGGCAAAAATCCCTGAAAATAGCAGTGGACTGTTGGTCAATCTTTGCACACAGACAACAGACAGACCTTCTGGGGCAGGACAACTATGGCTGTGTGAACTTTGTCAGCAATTGAGGCCAGACGGACTTCCATTGTCCAGAGGTTAAAGGACACTAGGTCCCAGAGCCAAACTGAAGATCTCCTAGCCAGCAGTGCAGGGGAGAGGGGATAATGTGGGCCTCCACGCAGAGGTCCTGGGGAGGCAGGGTTCAGAGGGAGAAGAGCTGGTCTTCCTGAGAGGATGACGATGGCAGCAAACAAGGCCACCCTGTGGAGAACAACTGCTCCCAGGAAGGCAGTGCTCAAGGCCACCTGCAGGGCACGCGGGCACGGGCCTTCCAATCTTTCAGTGAGAGTCTCACCGAGGGTCCAGCCAACAAGGGGCTTCTCAGACCCAAGTGCAGTGCTTTGACAGCACTGCAGTCAATCATGGTTTGAGGAGGAACACACTTCTAGTCTGCACACAGGGGAAGCTATAAGCGGAGACCAATGAAAAGGAGCTACCACCACCTCAAATCCACCGACAGAAAAACTGCTTCAAAAAAGTAAGTTACTCTCATGCTTACTGGATTACTAGCTGAACAGTCTCCCAGAAAATGTTCAACTGAGCAGAAATGGAAACCCCTGCCATTAAGCTGATCCTGACTCAAGAGAGCCTCTAGAGGAGCTTCCGGAGGCTGTACCCCTAACTCAAAGGGCCACAGAAGGCGGAGGCCTGGTACGGCCAACACCCCCACAGAAGGCACCTTTGTTACACACAAAATGCTGCCCCGAGTCACTGAAATGCTGTGAAGTGCTTTTCCCGGATTTTCATTCCCTGTCCACTATTTCTTTCTTTCCCCCTGTCCATTAATTCTAATAAGCAGATCAGAAGACAAAAATGGGGACCACAGGAAATACATTAGGAACTATCTTGAGACTCTCTATTCTGATAGCACTTCTGGTAAAATATAAAATTCCAAAGTAAAATTCTTCTACATTCAGTTCACCCTTCCTGTAGCAGCCTGAGGTGATCTGCAAAAGTGGTTCATTACTCACTGGACCCAGGAAACTACAAAATCTTGCATATCAAGATGGTCGAATCTCCGAATCCACTTCAAGAACACCGGAAACGGCCCAGGCCATCAAAGGCATGCACATCTGGAGAGCCACCAAATACTTGAAAGACATCACTCTGCAGAAGCAGTGTGTGCCCTTCTGACGCTACAATGGCAGCGTGGGTAGGTGTGCCCAGGCCAAACAGTGCGGTTGGACCCAGGGTCAGTGGCCCAAAAAGTGCTGAATTTTTGCTGCACCTGCTTAACAATGCAGTCATGCTTAACTGAAGTGTTTAGACGTGGATTCTCTGGTGATTGAGCACATCCAGATGAACAAAGGCCCCAAGATGCACCGCTGGACTTAAGAGAGCTCATGGTCAGATCAATCCATCCATGAGCTCCCCCTGCCACACTGACATGATCCTGACTGAAGAGGAACAAGTTGTTCCTAAACCAGAAGAGGAGGTTGCACAGAAAAAGATTTCCCAGAAGAACAAAAACTTATGGCTCAGGAATAAATTAGCTTAAAATAATAAAAGTTAAAGCAGGAAAAAAAAAATTTTTTTTTTCCATTTCAGATCAGCCTTCTCGTCCAGGGCCCAGGCGTCCAAGCATTTTATTACGGACCCCAATACTCTTAAAACAGAACTGTGAAAGCCTGGAAGAGTCCTTGGGGCACAGTGGTCACATAGTGGGCTGCTAATCGGAAGGTGAGCCATTCAACACCACCTGCCTCCAGGGAGAAAGGTGAGGCTTTCTACTCCCATCGAGTGAGAGGCTCAGAAGCATATAGGGAGGGTCCTACCCTGGCCTCCAGGGGCTCCTTGAGTCCCTGCCAACTTGATGGTACCGAGTGGGGTTTTCCCTTTGGTTCATGCCTGGATTTCATGGCTGGAAAGGCAACGACATCCTAAAGAACACTAGAAGCCGGAAGATGGGTTAGGCTTTTGCTAGAGAAAGAGAGGAAAGGTCGGAAGGTAAAAGCTGACCTAACAGTCGGATGGACCTGTCTCGGGGTGAGGTTCAGCCCAGGCAGCTTCTTGTTCCTAGTGCAGCTGGAACACAGATACGACGGTGGGAGGCTCACCTACTGGAACTGGGAGTCTAGAGCTGGGAATTCTAAGGGAGGGTTTTCTGTTCTGTCGGCTCTGGAGGAAGGCCCTTGTCTCTCCTGAGCACTTGCTTCATGTGCTTGCTATCACCACCCCCTATGATTTTAATAACTCGAGAGACTCCAGACCCACTTTACAGTACACTTGCCTCACAATACAACGCCCCCCGGGACCATAACCATAGGCAGAGACACAATTCCGTCTATGGCGGGCAGGGCAGTCAAAGCAGACGCTGGTCAAGATGCGTCAGCCACTGCTCTTCTGGCTGTCAGGGCATTGCTCACCCCCACCTGCCTGTGGAATGGGTATGTTAAGAACATTGGGGAGACCCTGGGCTGGCCTTAGGAGGCTACCATTTTGAGAATTTTACAGATAGTTACTGAGTAAAGATAATAGTTTTGCTTTGGACTGACCGACCCAAGAAAAACAGACTCAAAAACACAATCAAGGAGTAAATAGCTATCATATGTACACACACACACACACACACACACACACTCTCTCTCTCGCTCTCATAGCTATCATATATACGCATGTACACACACACATACACTCATAGCTATCATATATATGCATGTACACACACACACACATAGCTATCATATACGCATGTACACACACACACTCATAGCTATCATATATACGCATGTACACACACACACTCATAGCTATCATATATACGCATGTATACACACACACACTCTAGGACTAAATAGCTATCATATGTACACACACACACACACACACAC